AAGTGTGTCATAGACAAGATCCGCCTTGGCCGCAATGCTATCAGGCACAAGCTGCTCTCCGATTTCGGATGAATAATTGATTAATTGCAGATGTGGTGATCACATGCCTCGCCGTGAGATCGGCAGTCAAGGCAGTATGCATATCCACAGCGGTGGCACCAGTACATGGCGTGCTCGCATTGGCAGTTAGCAATATTGCGGCATTCCAATTGCCCCTCTGGTCTTGGAAACCACTGAATATTGGTAAAATCTTGGGCTCAATCATCATAGGCTGTCCTGGCGGCATGAGCGTCTCGAAGCATGTCCTTAGCTTGCTGTGAGGTCTCCTTCTTTTTGTGTGCCTCACGGACTTCTTGCTTGTTAGGTCCTTTCCTCGCTGTAGTATCGGCAGGTTTTGAAGATGCGGTGATGATGCTGGTGCAGAGTGATCCGGGATATCGTTTTTTTTCTGCAGGGTTGCCTTCTTAGGCATTGCTTTTGCCTTGATTTTGCCAGGAAACGCACGGATACGGATGTATCACTGTCAGTGGTCTCTTCTGCTGGTCCGGTTCCTTGCTCTCCTTCTTGGCGGCTGTTGTGGCTTTTTCGGATGCTTTCGGCTTGCCGGCAATTTCTCTTTTCATGCCTCCCTTAAGCGTTCTGCGATCTGTTTCCGTATTTCGGCTACCTTTCGAACTCCTTCAGTGAGTGGAGGCTTTAATGGCCGGTCATTCGGTGTTTGTCCTTCTCTCGCTGGCTTGGCCGATGCGGCTCGTTGCGTCTTAAAGCTGGTGATAAAGCTATTTACATGCGAAGGATCTGTAAGCCTTTCAGTCACATAATCGATATATCGCCGACGGGTCCACAATACTCGGTCACTTTCGTTCTGGTTCCTCTTTTGCCAGTAATACTGGTGGTATGCTATATGGAGCATTACATCACGTTCCGAAATTTAATCAGTCATTATAACACAAGATCGGAGTCATTCGGACGTTGTATCCAGCAACAGTCCACCAATGACCACACGCCGAGAAATCGGCTGAAGGGTACTGGCTTCTTAGCCAAGACGTATTGACTCTCCGTGAATCCGGAATCTAAGTCTTCTACGCAAGATGGAAAACCCACGATAATACAATCTGACTCGGGTCGGAGACTGTTCTGCATAGTGGTAAGAGAACAGTTAAGGGCAAAATGGACATCTTGTCGTCCGCCACGAGTTCCTCCCGGAAGTAAGCCGAGGCGGCGTATTGACGAGAGATTTTTCTCATTTGTTACATGGACCAAATATCGGTCTGGAAATCTGCTTGGAACATATTTGGCATGTTCAACCGTAGTTCGGTTTGAATGCCCGGACTCTAAAAGGATGAAAACGGATGCCACATCAAGTTGTTCGAACTGATCTGCTTGCGCCATGCGCTCACCATCACGATCGAACATAGAACCACGAAACAAGGTTGGCCAGCTTGCCAGGCTCATAGCCAATTCGGGTTAAGAATCCAATCTGTACGTGGCTCTTATTGGAATTACAGCAGATATGTGCTAGTGGCATCAAAAATGTGATGGCCGTATTTCGGCTCTTCATATTCTTGCTGACCTGGGTCTCATCTATCTCCTCAAGTCGTCGGTGACCCTGTCGGTTCACCTGCCTGATCTTACGAGTCGTGCCTCCATGGTTGAGCAACTCATTGAGGCTGAGCGATCCGTCTTCGTGGGTCAGTCGGCTGTGACGAAATATATAGGACAAATGTTTGGATCCCAGCGTGAACATGTCATTGTTCATAATTTCAGCATAATCTGCATCAGTCTGAATGCCTCCGTGCTGTCGGAGTACGTGTATCAGAGCTTCTACAAAGGCAGCAGAATTTCCACGAACTATGTCTAGAGGCTGCATAAAGGCAGATTCAATGAGTTTATCTCTCATTTCTTTTCCTTTAGAATCTCTAAGGGCGGAATCGTCGCATGCTTGGCGTCTGCCCGTAGATTCGGGTCGTCCGCCCCTGGGCGTATGCCTGGGACGTTCACCACGAGGTGTTCTTTCTCCTCTTGGAGTAAAGCCCGTACTATCGGGTCTGGGCGTTCTGGATTGAACAGGCAGCATAGAGCAATGATGATACGTGCAAGGAATGTGAAGCGAATATACGGGGCGGTGCTCCAAAAAGTGACTTGCAAGTGTAGCAGCGGTCAAGGGTATGCCGTATTCCCTGTTGAGCCGAGAGATGCAGACACAAATTTTCTTGAAAAGAAAATTTACTCTTCAAAGTACATCAGTGCAAACACAAAATCAGCAATATCTTCACAAAGAAACGAAAGAACGTTGTGTGGTTCATGAAGATTCTCGATAACCCATGTGGTGAGGAATGCCTTATGTTTGAGCCACGACCTGAACGGTGGATGGGCATCAACCTGATCTAATAACCTTCTAGTGGTGATCGATAAAAGAAGCTGATGAGGTTTCGCGGTATGCTTAGTTAGCGGATCGGCTAAGCAGTACTCGCTCGCGATATGACTGAGGTCATCAAGATGTCCTGTGTTGTTTCCTTCTGCTCTGGATGTTTGTTTGAGCGGTTGTCACCATGTTGTTCGCGTCAGTACGTATATGTGACGCCTGATGGATGCTACTACGCAGCTGGTTAAGGGATCACTTAGAGCACCGGAAAGTGGATCACTTAGAGCACCGGATCATTTAGAGCACCATGGGATCACTTAGAGCACCAAAAAAGTGGATCACTTAGAGCACCAGAGAATCATACCTTTGGGGTAGCACTTGGGGACACGGGGCTGGGACATGGAGTCAGGCACAGCAACCTCGTCATCTTTCTTGCTGTCCTGCAGACACACGCACTGCACTGCTCTTGCATGATCAGTTACCGCTGGGGTGAGGTGGGGTGGGGTAATACCGTTCATGTTCCTGTGCACACACAGGCAAAACGTTCCTGCTACGTCGTAACATCTTCGTCAAGTGACTTGCAAGACGTTCCTGATACGTTGTAACATCTTCGAGAAGAGCCCTTCTGAACGACCACGGGCTCCACGGGCTCCACGGGCTCCACGGGCTCCACGGCTCTACGGGCTCTACGGGCTTTACGGTTACAGAAGAATGGAAAGATTCGAACGTACAACAGTTTCACAACAGAAAGTGAAACTCTCTATATAGATTTGAGTGGTACGGATCTGGAACGGGTATGGAACAGGGATTGGAACGAAACGACCCGCTCCGGCACCTACATTGTAACGTCTTCTGTAAGTAAGTTGCAAAACGTGCCTGATACGTTGCAACATCTTCTTCAAGTAACTTGCCAGATGTTCCTGATACGTTGTAACATCTTCTGTGCGTGACTTGCAAGACGTTCCTGATATTTGTAAACTCTTCTTCAAATAACTTGCCAGATGTTCCTGCTACGATCAAACATCTTCATCAAGTCACTTGCAAGACGTCCCTGCTAAATTGCAACATCTTCTTCAAGTAACATCCAAGACGTTCCTGATACATTCATCATCTTCATCAAGTCAACGTTGCAACATGTTTGTTATGTAACTTGCAAGGCGTTCCTGCTAAATTGCAACATCTTCTTCAAGTAACGTGCCAGATGTTCCTGATACGTTGTAAACTCTTCTTATGCGTCTATATGGCTCTGCACATGTATGGAACTCCAACGCTATGTATCTCTTATGTCACTTTTCGATCAGGGTTCAGATAAGGGGGGAGGAGTTGTGCAGATGGTTTTGGTAGATACAAAGCAGAATGCATAGGGTGCACCACTACAAAATGCAGTGCATGTTACTTTTTTTGCGGCTACAAAATGAAGAACATAACTCTTTCTGGCTCGGAAGATAATTCAAAACCGGTACTACAAAATCCAATGCATCTGAAGTTAAAAAATAGCTGAACGTCGGAATTGCTAACATGATTTTTCCCAATGACATTTTGTAGTTGGGTCTTTGCCATCCAAAGTTCCGACCAACATAAACTCGGAGAACATTTTGTAGCTGTCAATGATTGAATTTAGTTGGATCAAGTGTTGACCCCGTGCAGTTTGTTAGATGGCATTCTGTAGCTTCATGATCTGTTTGTGTCCACGTACATGTCACGCACTGTTTCCTTTTTTCCACCTCTTCTCACCTCTTCTCGCTGCGTTGAGATTTTATGTTGGATGCTTCAACTATTCAACTTGTACAACTACAAAATGCTAATGAGATTTTATGTTGGATGCTTCAACTAACTCAACATATACAACTACAAAATGAAAATGATGATTTGAAAGGAATCAACTACAAAATGATTCCAAATACAAAATGGGGGGCACAACCCCTCCTGTTTGTACAAAAAATCCTGGCTGGCAATCTGTACTGTAGCCCAAGTCCTCCCCATTTCGTAGCTGAAATTTGAAGGTGGATACTTTTCGGCGCTCCAAGCGATCCACTTTTCGGTGCTCTAAGCGATCCACTTTTCGGTGCTCTAAGCGATCCACTTTTCGGTGCTCCAAGCGAACCCCCGACCTACGCAGCTAATTCCCAAGCTGATTTCATAAAAAAACCTGATGCTCCATGACACCCCATGGATGCAAGTGTGAAGCTAATTTCAACAACACGAACCCCTGATGGAGGCTACAGTATTACGCAGCTAATTTCATCAAAATTGATCCCTTGCGACCCTGTATGCATGCCAACCAAATGTAAAATCCCAAGCTGATTTCACAAACATTGAGCCCTCAAAAAACTGATTTTATCAAAATTGACGCCTTATTGATGAGCCGTTCAACCCTTCATGGATGCTGGTTCAAAGCTGAGTTCATCAAATTTGACCCCTCATGGATGCTATTATGCAACTAGTTCCCGTAGAATTGACGCTCCATCGGTCATTATTTGGAAGCTAATTCCAGCAACATCGGTTCATGGATGAGTGAAAGGCACATTATTTGGGGGTTGGGTTTTTAACTCCCTGACTTGACTTTGTTGACCTTGTTGACATTGAGTGGGGGGGTTATTGATCCAGGGCTGACATTATTTGAGGTCCAAGCTGCTTGCATCTGCCCTGCTTGGCCCAAAATCCGTCAGTGCAGCTTGTGCAAAGAGTTCCGTTGTAGCCCGAACCGCAGTCATGACTGCCAGGACAACGTTGCGACGTGTCTGGAGGGAGACACTTGCGAGCCTCCTGGGTTTTGGGTTCCAACCGAGCGTGGCCAACCTCGGGCTTCGCGGTTGAAGCTGGGATGCCTTCGACGGGGCATTGCAGGTGCAGTTTGCTGCAGAGAATGCAGTTGCCATCTCGCAAAGTCTGGTGCTTGTCACATGAGCAAGCGCCATCGTGAAGATCTCCAAATTGACATTTGCAGTGCGCCAGTTTCGTGGAACCTTCCGGTGCTGTACTGTTTGCAGGGCAGCTTTTGCAAGTGCCAAGGCCCATTTCATCGCTGAACTTGTTAGCTGGACACACTTGGCACGTTGCTCCATGCCCATGCCATCCAGGGAGGCACTTGCAGAGTGTTTCTGGCAAAAACCTGCTGGAGGTCACCTGGATTATCGTACTCACAACATCTTTGCATGTGTAGCCGGCAATCTCATCTCGGTACGCATACATGTCTGTGGTTTGCAGTTGTCCTTCCTGTAACAACTGTAGTGCTTCTTCTTCGTTGCTCAATTTGGTTCCCCTCAAATCCAAGATGATGTGCTTTTCCAGGGCTCGCGCCAAAAGCCCTGGCGACAGTTTGATTTGATGATTTTCCCGAAACAACATGCGACCAGCTCCGGTAAGGACAGGCAAGTCACTTAGCCAACTCACGTTGTTGTAAGAGAGGTCTAGCAACAACAAACGTGTGGCCATCGGAAAGGTGAAATCATCACGCCGTCGGCCGTCACTTGCATAGATGATCCCTTCCTTCAACTGTGGCATTGCGCCAAAAACCCCGGAACCAGAGGCCATGAGGAACGTCAGGCGCTTGCACATTGCCAACGGCAGCAGTAAATTCTTTGCAGGGCTATTTACCGGACCTCGCCACATCCAAAAAACGAAAAAAAACCATACCCTATCATGTGGAGAGACTTTTTTACCACCCTGATTTTGCGGATGGTATACGGCATTGTGTTTACAACATTACAATCATTACAATGCTACCAGCCGCTACCGACTAGACACCCAGCGCACAGACGGGCACGTGGTTTTAAGACATGCGGCCAAAATACGTGTCAATTCCGGGCGCTGTTTTTCAAACATTTCAGTGTAAGTTGTAACACAGTCAAATTTGTGTTAGCGGGGTGAAAAACCGCGCGTGTAGTCGTGTGCATTTTATGCACATGGGGTGGGGTGGGGTGGGGGCAATAACGCCCCTGTTGCTTTGCACACATACGTACGTTCTCGTGTCTTTGCACACATAGGGAATGCTGACTTGTGAGATCTTCTCTTGCACTTGCACACGTGTCTTCCGTCGGCTCGTCTTTCTTATGAGATCTGCTAGTCTGTGTGATTCCATCCTGTAACATGTGGTGGGGGCGGGGTTGGGGACAGTAACATTCATGTTGCTTTGCTGACATGGTGGATGCTACGTTGTCAGATCTTCTCTTGCACTTTCTAACATCCTGAATGCAACGTTGTGAGACCTTCTCTTGCACTTTCTAACCTTCTGAATGCTACGTTGTGAGATTTGCTCCAGTTCTTTCTCGCATCCTCAATGCTACGTTGGGAGATCTTCTGTCGCAATTTCCAACATCCTGAATGCTATGTTGTAAGATCTTTTCTTGCACTTTTCAATATACCTCCTATCTTTTGTTGTAACTTCTTTTCTTCTGCTTTCCTGCGCCGGTGGCGGCCAGAAAACCCAAGATCCTTGAAGGGACGGTCTTCCAATGTCGCGCTTTGAAGACGTTCGGCCTTGTAAAACCAAGGCCGAATGCTACAATGGGCATTCAAATTCCCGGGAATTTCTATTTGAACTTCTATCATGAAATGACTACAGCGCTGTGGGACCAGGCGCATTTTATTCCAAAAACTGAACAACCCCTAGCGCGGTTGTCACCCCTCTGGGATGTTTGTGACCAGTTGGAATTTGCATATTTTTCTACTGGATCAAACCAATGTTGACTTTAATCAAGGTTTTGCAAGTTATTCTGTGCTTTTCCTATTTCTATGCTGACATCACTTTGCAGCGTACACAAAAAGCAAAACATTTTTCCAGCATTCATCCATGCTTCCGGAAGTCGCAGGTGCACTTCAAGAAATTAATTGGGCTTCTCTCAGAGATCATGTGTCTACAGGCCCGTTGGTGAAGATACTTATCACATAGAGAAAACCCCGTAGCCTAGCATGAAAAATTGCAAGAGAAGACCTACTAGCGTAGCAGTAGATCGGTATGCAAGTGCACGAGAAGATCTGATGGCGTAGCATCCAAGCATCCGTGCAAGTGCAAGAGAAAACCTTGTAGCGTAGTAATAATTAGATCTGTATGCAATGCAAGAGAATATCTGATAGTGTAGCATGAAAGTATCTGTACAAGTTCATATCACTGCACATGAAAGATCCTGTAGCACAGCGAGAGCGCTATCACACCGCCATGTTCAAATCTATGGTGCCCGAGAAAGAATCGCGAAAATGACACGGCCGTGTATGCCCCCAGTGCCAACCGCAGGCACCTAGATCTAAAGACAAAACAAGACCACCTCCAAGAAACTGACACTGAAACATTCCAAAACAAATTGAAAATGAACATGCACGAACCACAAAATTTCATTTTCTTGAGCAGCGGAAGTGCAATTGGTGAGGTCCAAGTACCGAAGATTTGGCAGAATCACTTCCGGAAAAGCCATTGAGAACGTCGTCAAATCGCCAAAATCCTTTCCAACGGGAGCAAACCTTGGATTAGTTGAAACAGGTCCAAAAACAGCAATCATCAAGATTTCGAGTTTCCATACACATCATGAAGATTTGGTGGAATTGTCGGGAAAATAACCCGCACAAAAATCTGAATCCAGTCTCGAAAACTGAACAGAACTGTTTTGAAGCCGCAAACTTCGGAGCAATCTGCAACAACCCTTCCAGTCCGCCGTGAGTTGACCGACCACCCGGGTGAACGACAAGTCCACCTCAAAGGGCAGTATCCGGCGCTGTTGCGTTTTTCACATCTAACATGCGCAAATAGGACACACACACACATGGGATGATCTTCGATGACATGCGCAGTAAAGGAAATGTCCAGAATTGTTTGGGGAATGATTTTTCCCGCTCGTGTTTTTGTGATTTCCTGTTGTGGCCACCTTCCCTGCTATTTGCACCATTTTGAAGCTGGAAGCTACCATTTCAAGGGTATTTGCAACATTTTTGAGTTCGAACGTTTCATGTTTCATGTAACATGGTAGTTTGCAACTAGGGTTGGTTTTGGGTTTGTTCTATTGTTTTTAAAGGATCGGTCTTAAATGTTCTTAAAGGTTGTTTGTAAAGTTAGTTTTTTTTTATATAAAAAATGAAGGGTCGGTCTGGGTTTTGTAAGGGTTGGTTTAAGGTCTATTCAGGGTCGGTTTAAAATCTATTTGGGGTTGGTTTAGGATCTAGTTACGGTTGGTTTAAGGCTTGCTGAAACTTAACATCTATATAGGTGGGGTTGGTTTGGGAACCATTTGGGGTTGATTTAAAATCTATTTTAGGTTTGGTTTAACATCCATTGGGGGTTGGTTAAAAAAAACTCTATTTAAGGTTAGGTTCAATTTTATTTGGGTGTTTATTAGGTTGAGTAGTTTTATTTTTTTGCAGATTGGTTTGGGGTTTCTTTAGGGATTTCTTTAGGGGTGATTTAAGGTTTATTCATCATATGATATATGAATATACGTATATACATATATATATTTATGATGTAAACAAAAAAACACATACGCACATGATATATGGTGTAGACAAAGAGGAGGCATGGCCGCGAAAAAGAAGGATGGAAAAGTGTCGCCGACGCAGCAAAACATGGATGCGCGAGGATGTGCGCACGTGTTGAGGCTTGCAAAATTCCGCTTGTGTCGTAGTTGAAAGACTATGTGGAATTCATGAACAGCATTATGTAGCACTGCATTTCCACGTCATGGAAGTCCAGGCATACATGTCAATCTAGACTATTGCAAGCTGACAAGCGCCTAGGAACTCTTTCTATGACTTTGTAAGCATAATGTGTATAAACGAGAAAATGAAAAAACGAGAAAAACCAAGCCTAAGACCTGCAACCAAATTTCAAGCCGAAAAGCCACACCGAAATCAGGTCAAAAATGTTTGTGGTACATCACGAGGCACATCTTTAAGCGGATCGATGGGAGGCATTCGTCCTTAAGTATCTTTCAACAACCCTAAATCAGAGTGCTGTGTCGTTGATTTGACGGCCAACTGTTTGCGATGCTCTTGTCTCTCCCTGTGGTGCCCGGCCGCGCTGGGGCGGAGGTTCCAGAAAAGAACAGCGATTATAAGAAATGAGTGGGGCCTGTTTAAATGGTCCACGCATCAAAAAAAATCCAGTTTGGCAAGAATTAGATGAGGAAAAAAAATTGTACGATTGCTTGGATGGATGTATGAAGGAATGCATGCATGCATGAAGTAGAATGAGCGAAGGAATGAACAACATAATACATGACTGAGCGAAAGAAAGAAGGATGAACGAACGAAAGAATGAATAAATGAATGACATGAATGAAGGAATGAACGAAAGAACGAACGAAGGAAGGAATGAATGAGCGGATGGATGGATGGATGGATGGATGGATGGACGCATGGACGGATGGACGGATGGACGAATGAACGAATGAAAGAATGAGTGAATGAATGAATGAACGAATGAATGAGTGAATGAGTGAAAGAATGAATGAATGAATGAATGAATGGATGGATGGATGGATGGATTAATGGATGAATGAATGAATGAATGAATGAATGATCGGATGAATGAATGAATGAATGAAGAAATGAATGAATGAATGGATGGATGAATGAGTGAGTGAAAGAATGAATGAAGGAACGAATGAAGGAATGAATGATCGGATGAATGAATGAATGAATGAATGAACAAGCGAATGAATGAATGAATGAGTGAAAGATTGAATGAAGGAACGAGTGAATGAATGAATGAATGGATGAATGGATGAATGGATGAATGGATGAATGGATGAATGGATGAATGGATGAATGAATGAATGAATGACTGACTGAATGAATGAATGAATGATCGGATGAATGAATGAATGAATGAATAAATGAATGAATGGATGGATGGATGGATGAATGAATGAATGATCGGATGAATGAATGAATGAATGAATGAAAAAATGAATGAGTGAATGGATGGATGAATGAATGAATGAATGGATGGATGGATGAATGAATGGAGGAAAGAGTGAATGAACGAATGAATGAATGAATGAATGAATGAATGAAGAATGAATCGAAGAAAGAAAGAAAGAAAGAATGAATGGATGAATGAATGAACGAATGAACGAATGAATGAATGAACGAACGAATGAATGAGTGAAAGATTGAATGAAGGAACGAATGAATGGATGAATGGATGAATGGATGAATGAATGAATGATCGGATGAATGAATGAATGAATGGATGGATGGATGGATGGATGAATGGATGAATGAATGAATGAATGATCGGATGAATGAATGAATGAATAAATGAATGGATGGATGAATGAATGAATGGATGGATGAATGAATGGATGGATGAATGAATCGAAGAAAGCAAGAAAGAATGAATGGATGAATGAATGAACGAATGAATGAATGAAAGAATGAATGAACGAACGAATGAATGAATGAGTGAGTGAAAGAATGAATGAAGGAACGAATGAAGGAATGAATGATCGGATGAATGAATGAATGAATGAATGAACGAACGAACGAATGAATGAATGAATGAATGGATGGATGGATGGATGAATGGATGAATGAATGAATGAATGAATGAAAAAATGAATGAATGAATGGATGAATGGATGAATGGATGAATGGATGAATGAATGAATGAATGAATGGATGGATGGATGATCGGATGAATGAATGAATGAATGGATGGATGAATGAATGAATGAATGAAGGACGGATGAATGAATGAATGGATGGATGGATGGATGAATGAATGAATGGATGGATGGATGAATGGATGAATGAATGAATGAAAGAGTGAATGAACGAATGAATGAATGAGTGAATGAATCAAAGAAAGAAAGAAAGAAAGAAAGAAAGAAAGAAAGAAAGAATGAATGAAAGAATGAATGAATGAGTCAAAGAAAGAAAGAATGAATGAACGAACGAATGAATGAAGGAACGAAGGAATGAAGGAATGCAAGGATGGAAGGATGCATGGATGGCTTGATGGGGGATAGATGACTCAGCGATGAGAAACGAACGGACGATTGAAGGAACGTACCTCGGGTTGCAATCCCGCATCGCACGGACGCACCAGCAAATCGACACTGCTTCGCACCACAACAAATTGCTGGCGTGCAAGCCCGGCTTTGTTATGAAATTTTCTTTTCCACAGCTTTGCCGCATCAACGCCCCCATGCGCGGAAACAAAGACCCTTGCATTGAAGTGGATGTCTGTATCTAAAGACGTATCTGTCGCTATGTCTGTGTATGCATGTGTACGTACATGCATGCAGAGATGTGCCACCCCCTTAGCATTATTGGCCGTGTTCCAAGGCAATAAGGCTTCTGCTCTAAGACAATACGCTTTCAAGACACACCAATGCCTGCATCCCTTGGCGTATCCCATTGTATTATCCCGTGGCGTATCTCCCACCGTACTGCACACTGCCTGTTGAATTCGATAGAATTTCGTGATATCTACCAGGTTGCCAGTGACTGCTGTACCACGCAGGTTCAATTTCCACAATTGCTTCAATGCAACCAAGTCTGAAAGCTGGCCCGTCACCCCTGTGTTGGCGAGGCCCAAGAGTTCTAGACCCCCTGCCATCTTCCCTTGGAAACCTGTGAAGTCGCCAGAAATCCGGGTGTTTCCAAGATTCAGCTGCACGAGCCGTTGCATGTCCTTACAAAAGACATTGAGATCTCCATGGATTTTTGTATTTTCCAAATCAAGGAACTGAAGCCATATTGCCTCAGTCAAGCTTTTGATATCACCGACAATCCCAGTGTCATGCAACTGCATCGTCAGGAAGGATGTAAAGTTCTGGAAGACTTCAAGATCACCAGTGACTTTTGTGCCATGCAAATCCAAGATTTTGAGATCGGGTGTGGCGGCAAAAGCCTTGATGTCACCAGTCATTTCTGGCGACGTTAGAGTAACCTCAGCTGCTATGCAAAGCCCTGCCTCCCTGTAACTTTCCTTCTTCCCTTCCCTGCTTCCTTAGCTTGTCCTCTCAATTTCATATACGTTTACCTCTTTAAAGTATGCAACAAATTGATTGGAATGCAAAGCGCTAGTTGTTGATTCAACGTTATTTGGCTCCACCTAGCAATGAAGATCGCTAAACTTCGCTGGCCAGTTGCTTCCTCGAGGCCCTTCAAACGGATGTAGTCTGGCAAGTGGCCCGCGCATGTCGTGCAGCGGATCGTCTCAACTTTGCATGAGTGAGGGGAACACGTGATGCCAGGCAAGTCGCAGTGGTCTTTGGTCATGGGGCCTCGCAGTGACCACAGGTCGGAGGGCGCACGAAAAACTGCACAGTGTGTGTGTGTGAACTATCTGAAGAGATGTAAAACTTCTAATTTGGGATTCCTTTTCATTGCTTTTTGTAAATTTGCAGGTGGCGACAGGGTCGCTGCATGGCTGTCGCCAACGAAGCTCCATGCAGTTCACTAGGATATGGAGCCTGATCAACTCCACGTACCTGCATCCAGTTTTTATTTCCTCGTGATGGGCAGTGGCTAACCCAAGACCCACCGTGCCGTTTTCAACCATCTTGATGTCACTTCTTTTTCAGTACGGTCTTGGCAATCTGTCAAGGTTTTTGGGAACGATATGGCTTAGTTGAAGGGAAGGGTCAGCTTCCAATTCAATCCAATTTGCACTGGCTATGGCGATGGTAGCTTCTCTCTTCCCCGACCCATTCCTGTCAGGTGTATTTGGATTGCTTTTGCGCGTAAGATGCATTCCACAGCAAAATTCGCAATGACAGTTCTGAGCAAGTGTATTACCCACGTCGGTTCGACAAGATGTCGTGAGCCCCTCGGGGAATGCCTGTCTAGGTAGGATGTTTGATCCCTCGACTTGATCGCTGAATTTACACTTTTAATTTAGTAATTCGTTTAAGTAAAGTGAAACAGTTGGCCTTTTCTTCAAGTTTCACTGTCGATCGATGTCTGTTGAACTACGTGCCGCTGTACCGGGCTTCACCTTGTTTTGAGAGACTGCTTGACTGTCAAGGGTTAGTAGTAGTAGCTGTCAACTGCGACAACCTCCTTTTTCCAGCTTTGCTCGAGCGACAGGCCGATGTCATTTTGATCATGCAATCTATGAGTGGTGGCTGGTATGGGAACCAATCCCATTGCAACACCAGCAAGTACCATCAAGCCTGCATTTATTACAGCCAAGGGCTTCCTTGGCCGCAAGCGCAGGCTCGCGCAGCAAAGGACTGGGCCAAGTGGGGCTCTGACGCCTCGGTGTCGAGAACCCCTGCCCGCCGACCACCGGAGCTGCGCGAGTGGTCCAGGTCAGCGCCACAGCGAAGAACTGGCCGAAGGGGATCCGAGGAGGGGCAGGGATTGTCGTCGGTCCAAGGATCGCAAGGTGCCGGTGACGAGGAAGAAAACAGCAAAAACCGTGCCAGTGCCCGCCAGGTCCAAAACGTGCCAGTGCCCGCCAGAAAGACCGGCAAGGAGGCTGCGAAGAAAGCGCCGGCCAATAAAAAGCCCGTGCTGCCACCCACGGAAGAGTCGTCACAGTACTCTTACCTTGAGGACGAGGAGGAAGAGTTGGGGGAGGGGTCAATTTCAGACAAGGAAGTTGACCCTGATTCTCTGAAGACTACGACGACTAAGTCAAAGCCTGCGGCGTCCAAGGCAGACGCAAAGTCAAAGGCGACCAAGGTCGCGCCGGCGGCTTCCTCGTCGTGGAAGCCGGGCGGAGCTGAGGCTCGTCGTCAGAGAATGGAAAGCATGGCAAAGCTTTACGAAGTTCAGGCAGCAGCCATGCGGTCCTTGACGGACTAAGGCGGCGCGCCGCCAAAGAAGCGTCGGCCGGACTATAAGACGGAAGCAAATTTAATTAAGACTATTGAGAGCTCCTGAGTACGTCGGAGAAAAAGAGAGCTCGGGTCGAGGGATGGAAAGGGTATAGTCTTGCCATGCTTCCCAGGTAGGCGACTGACCGATCTGTTATAAAACTAAGACTAACCGACAGAGATAGTTGACTCCAACCAGCTGTCCCGATGCCTAACGTTGTGCATCTGCAACCGTTTTGGTTCTTCAGTGTCTTCACGACGACGAGTTGCTGGGACATGCATGGTGGTGAAAAACGTGTCTGCTCATGGCGCTTGAACAAAGCAGAGCTGGCCGAACTGGCCGCTCCAGTCGAAGTGGAACGGGAAATTCAAACAAAGAAAGCACAGGCAAACGAAGGAAGGAAAAAGCTGCTAACGCAGTCGCAGAAAAGTGGACGTCAAACCGTGGCTGCAAAGGCAAAGCCTAAGGCGAAGGCCAAAGCTGGAGGGGCCCAGCCCCATGTCAGCAAGTGGAATTGCGCCTTCGGACGCAGACCTCAACGACGCTACGAACAAAGCCTACTACTGCCAGGTCCAAGAAAATTGCGTGATCCGCCAAGAGTTTGGTGGAGAAGCCTTTTGGAAAGAGCTTCCTTTGCCGATTTCCAGTGGAAACACGCCAAGTGGAGTCCAAGAGCCGTTTGACCGGTCCAAGGCGCTGCAAGCCTTGAAGGCCCACGGCTGCTACAGAAGCAGCATCTCAGTGTGGTGGCTGAATGCCTTGCAAAGCCCGACGCCAGGAGTCCCTATGAGCCGCAGGAGAGTGGAAGATTTAATGGAAGTTTACTACGGACCTGAGGGTCAACCTTAAGCCTTAATTGATTCCATTCCGACAGAATGATCGAGGTGGCGGTGACTTCCGCTGAGTGTGACAGTGAAATTCCGATCAACTTGCCAGAGGAAGTTTTGCACGCGACTCTTGCTGGCTGCGCTCAAGCAGTCAAGTTCGTCGTTCTGGTTAATTAATTGAAGTTTTACTATTTTTGAAATATGGAGCAAGGAAATTGCCCGTCTTCGGTCTCTTATGGCGGAAAAGGAGGAGGCAGAGAAGAAAAGAGAATCTCAGCAGAAGCAAGATGTCGAGGACGCAAAGCGCCGGAAAGAATTCCAAGATTTTGAGCAGTCATGCTGCCAAAACAAGAGCATACGCGTACGGAGCCAGTGCAAGGTGCAGAAGTTGTGACTCAAGGTCTTTGGTCAGCAAAAGACGTAAAAAATGCAAACTTGGTAGTGCATGAGACTTTTGGCTTCCGCTGTGCTTCCTGGAACGATGTTGAATCATGTTTGAAGCAAGCTTCCAACACCAAGCTCAAGGAGATGCTCCAACGCAAGGGCACCCACGATATCCCCAGTTCCAAGCCGGCCGTCGTCAAGGCCGTTTTGCGGCTTCTCCGTGCTGAGTTTCCTTCTGCCAAGTCTAAGCCACAACTGCAAGGTGACGCCTTCAATGGCGCCAACATATGCTGGCCTCATGCTTGCGTTTCTGACTGGTGCAATCACAGTCTTCATCACGTGCGACAGCAAGCCAAGAAGTTGGCTTCCGAACTGGCTGGCAGTGTATGTGGAAATTGCGCGAGCCATCATAACAATGGCCGTGCATCAGTCACATTTGTTTGAGGAACAGAGATGAAGAAACGCAGAATCTGCAGTGGCCAGCTGATTTTGCTTCGAAGCAGAGCGATAGAACCAAGTTAGACATGATGCGTTTTCCATGCAAGAGAATTGGCTGCAGACCTTGGGACTTCTGAGAGTAAGTGGTCGTTCACATGTTCTTGCAACCTTGAAGCTTCTGAACTCTGAGTGAGTAGCCTACTGAGGCTGAACTTGTAAGAGCTTGATGGTCATTTTTCTTGACCGTTGTCTCATTAATTCGCGCTACACTCTCTGATGACCTGGCCCAAGTAGTGAGTTTCTGCGAAGGTTGCTTTTCTCTTGTTTCCTGTTTCCTCTTGTTTCTTTTTTTTGTTTCTGCTTTGCCTGAAACCCATGCACAGGTCTCAGTGATTTCTACACGAAATTTGCTTGAAGTGGCGGTACCATGATAGTTGACATGTCCATCTTGCTTGACTTAGGCTTTCGATTATCATGTGTTTTTTTTTGAAGCGTTTTGCTGATAGTGATACTCAGAATGGGAAGTGCAAAGAGCGAAGGTACCAAGCCAAAAATAACCTTGCAGCTGTTCGAAATGTCCGAACAGAAGCGATTGTTGCGGCTTTATATACGCTCGAGCCATCTTGCCGCAGACGTGGCGGGGCGTGCACAGCAGAAGGCGCTCACAAGACTCCCCGGCGGCTACTGCGGTTGAAAGAAGGTGCTAGCAATTTTGCATTATTCAATGGACAAACTAGTGCTACGCTTGCAGAGATGTAACCAGAGAGTGTCGAGTGAAACAAAGTGATGCAGTTCAGCAAGAACGACATGCCAAAACCGTGTTGAGAGAAGAAGCGCTGTGAAGTGTGCGGAGCCTTGTCTTTACCGCCTCTTCAAAAAGGCATTCAACAGTGCAACAAGAATGCCGAGAAATAAAAGTGCGTGGAGAAAACTATCGCAAAGACTGCTCGGGGAAGGTTGGAAAAAGTTCGAATGGGAGCTGGGCAAAATCAATGAAAAAGGAAAGGTATTGGAAACAATGTTGAAATTGGTGCTAGAGTGAGCCAATGAAACTTGGCGAACAACCGCCCCGTGGCCATGGCGAGACCGGTAGCCAGGGACTTGAGGCCAGGAGTAGGTGATGAAAGCGAGCGGAGGGGGGGTTGAATCCGAGGCCAATTTCTATAAAATAAGGTGAAGTAATAAAAGTTGAATACTATGTGCACGTCCATATCGTCATGTTGCGTTTCGTCGAATGAAGAAGTCTCCAGGCGCATGTAAGGTGTTGCCTGGAAACCTGTGGTTGGACAGGAAAGTAGGTGTTGTGCTGGGGGAGGGAAGCCTTGCTGAAGTACCAAGTATGGATATAAACGACAGTTTGGCGAAGAAAGAATGTGCCTTGCTAGCTTTCGTGCAAGACGGCGGACGCCCAGGCGATGGGCCGCGTCTTGTTGATGAACTCGGGCGAGCAGTTGAAAGATGTTGAAAGATGTTGTAAGATGTTGAAAGTGCCAGCAAACTATATATAGCAAACCTGATGTTTCTCTTCCAGTTCCTTGCCCTCCCAGTTCTTCCCAGTCGGCCTTTGAAACCCAAATCCAACATCATCTGCTGCAGGAGCTTGGCTTCCTCCTCACACTCATCACCTCTGGGCATCTTCAAACACTTTCTTCAACTGTGCTCGCCCTTGAGTTAAAACAATCTCCCAAGATCTTGGGCTGCACCAAAAAACATCAAAACTGCTGGTTTTTGAAAAGGGCGGGATCATTGGATCATGGTTCAAAAGTGCCACCTTTGAGTTACGGAGACCCAAAAACTGCAACGAGTTGAAGTCATCATCTCACCAGGCCAAGGGGCTAGGCTCATCCAAGTTGAGGTGTTCAGAAGGGTCATCTCTCAATGCCGCAGAACTGTACAGCAGCATCCACTGCAGTGCCACCGAAAATGGCCCCATGTTGTTTCAGGCACAGTGGCCGAGAAAAATGGAATGACGTGGACAGGTTCACAAACCAACGGCGAAGCGCTTTCGAGCCAAATCGCCTCTTGAATAGATCGTTGGCAGTGTTTGAAAGGTCCGAAAACAAGCGAAAACATCCGAAACTCTTTTCGCTTGATTTGGCTATATTATGATATATTTGGATAAACTTGATGCGTCTGAAGACTCTGAAGATGTGATTGTTGGGGGTACCCATAGCTGCGGCACCTCCACATCCCATCCCAAGCAGCAACTTGGGGGAAATCTCCTGAAATCAAAGTTAAGGTACTTAACTTGGTACTTAACTGGGTACTTAAGTTATCACTTGTCACTTGACATTACTTGAATCAGCCAGCAGTTCATTATGTTCACTATGCTCATTGCTCTTGGATATAGTTGAAACTCTTTGATTGAACCCAATTGCTGTTTCTGGCTGTTGAATTTCTCTTTCTGCAGATGACTGTGGTGACTGTGGTAGGCTTAGGCTTGGGCCCCTAATGGATTGACTCCTGGCGACCACATGGCCCTCTCCCTACCATTGCCTCAACATCTCCAAAAGATGAGCCACTGAGACACGAGCCTCCCAAGTTGGCAAAGCTTCGAAAGAAATGAAAATATCCTACTCCACTCATGCAGCGCACAACAGTATACATACAGTATAGGATATGATCGAAGGAAGTTTAGAAGTCAAACTTCCGACAACATGGACAGATGAAAAGCAGAGCAGGGCAGAGGCAGAGAGAAGAGAAAGATTAGAAGAGAGAAGAGTAGAAGAGACAGAGTCAGAAGAAAGAAGATGCAGATGCGCGAAAAGGTAGGAAAGTCGCGAAACACTGTGTGTTTTCCAATGATTTGTGGCTCCGGAGGGTCGAAAAGTAGGCTCGCTAAAGCGGCGGGTGCGGAGCCAGCTGGCCAGATGAGAGATGAAAAATTGCACGCCGTTGTGGCACGAAGCACATGTCGAAGTCAAAATGTACAAAACACCTCAGCGTCGGACCACTTTTGGAAGTTGAGATGTCGAACAAGTGCACGCCGTTGTGGCGCGAAGCACATTTCGAAGTCAAAATGTACAAAACACCTCAGCCTCGGACCACTTTTTGGAAGTTGCGCTGTCGAAAAAGTGCACGCCGTTGTGGCGCGAAGCACATTTTCAAGTCAAAATGTACAAAATACCTCAGCGTCGGACCACTTTTGGAAGTTGAGATGTCGAAAAAGTGCACGCCGTTGTGGCGCGAAGCACATTTCGAAGTCAAAATGTACAAAACACACCAGGTTCGGACCATTTTTGGAAGTTGCGCTGTCGAAAAAGCGCACGCCGTTGTGGCGCGAAGCACATTTCGAAGTCAAAATGTACAAAATACACCAGCGTCGGACCACTTTTGGAAGTTGAGATGTCGAAAAAGTGCACGCCGTTGTGGCGCGAAGCACATTTCGAAGTGAACATGTACAAAGCACCGCATGTTCGCGCCACTTTTGGAGGTTCAGATGTCGTTTTGCGTGGCAGGCGCAAGGGATTGTGCACCTTGTCAAAAGTGAGCAAAACGTGAGGGTTTTGCAGCATTTCCAGAAACGATGGCAGGCGTGGGGCATTTGAAGAGGATCTTCAAAGATGCATTTCGCGTGGCAGGTGCAGTACAAAAGACATGTTCATCAGAGATGTTCGGAGGTCAGGGCGCTCATTTCCTGAGATGGGTTGCATTTTGGAGTATCCGATCTTCAGGTTTGCTGAGATGATTTTGCGTGACAGGTGCAGCACTTCGTATGACCTGGCATCAATTTTTCGTGGCACGCGCGGTACTTTACACAGGTGGAGTGGAAAAATCGCAAAACGCATCGGTACGAGGCTCCCAGCGCTGCACTCAACTTTCCATTTTTGAAGGAAGTCTCGCAGAATTGCTTTGTTTTTGACGTTGTTAAGTTCAAACATTGAGGAAGTCTCGCAGAATTGCTGCGGTTTTGGACGTTGTTAGGTTGAAAAATAAAAGAAGTGTCGCAGAATTGTTTTGTTTTTGATGTTGTTAAGGTCGAAAAATGAGGAAGTCTCGCAGAAGAGCTTCGTTGTCAATCTGGCAGATAGACAGATAGATAGACAGACAGACAGAGAGAGACAGAGAGAGAGAGAGAGAGATAGATAGATAGACAGACTGATAGATAGATGGACGGATAGACAGATAGACAGATAGATGGACAGATAAACAGATAGACAGACAGACAAATAGATAGAGAGAGAGAGGTAGATAAATAGATAGATAGATGGATGGATGGATGGATGGATAGACATATAGATAGATAGACAGATAGATGGACAAATAGACTGATAGATAGATGGGCAGATAGACAGATAGACAGATAGATGGACAGATAGACAGATAGACAGACAAACAAATAGATAGAGAGAGAGGTAGATAGATAGATAGATTAGATTAGATTAGATTAGATTAGATAAGATTACATTATATTAGATTATATTAGATTAGATTAGATAGATTAGATAGATTAGATAGATTAGATAGATAGATAGATAGATAGATAGATAGATAGATAGATAGATAGATAGATAGATAGATAGATAGATAGATAGATAGATAGATAGATAGATAGATAAGATAAGATAAGATAAGATAAGATAAGATAAGATTAGATAGATAGATAGATATAGATAGATAGATAGATAGATAGACAGATACACAGGTTTGTAGACAGATAGTTAGATACCAAGATAGATAGAAAAAAAGATGGATAGATACGTGACAGATAGATCAGTAGGTAGGTAGGTAGATAATCAGAGAAAGATAGAGAAACAGAGAGAAAAAGAGAGAAAGAGAGAGAAAGAGAGAGAAAGAGAGAGAAAGAGAAAGAGAGATCAGGCACCTTTCAGTCCATCAGTGGCTTCGCTCTGCCATCCCTGATTCACAACAACCAATCTCTCCTATAGGTTTCCTATTTTTGAAACTTCCGCCACTGCCTTGTGCGGTACTACTGGTATTCTATGGATTTCTATGGATATGTTGAACTTGATTTGATGTTTCTTCCATGGGCGCTTGATTCGATCAGCAATTTTACCAATCCGTCCCTCTTGTGTCGGTACACACGCAAGAAATAACACCTGGACACAAGGACCACCACCGTCCCTGTATTAGTAGCCGCAGCCCAGCCACAGCCAACCGGCAATTTTGCAGTACTTCAAGGCCCAGGAGTCTGAAGCACAAAACAGCAGAACTGAGAAATACCGAAAAACTAACAAGGGGCTTCCTGGTTGGTGGTTTCAAGCCCTCTGAAAAATATTAGTCAGCTGGGATTATTATTCCCAATATATGGAAAAATAAAAAATGTTCCAAACCACCAGCCAGCTTCTGGCGCTCGTTTTGACGCAGGCGCCTCTTGGCGCCTGCTGAGGTCAGAAGTGCAGCTGCTGCACAATGACCTCATGGATTTCTCCGCTGAAGCTTTGGCAGCTCTGAATGCAGCCCCTCAGTAGAACCAACACGTCCACAGTGGAACTGACCCTGTCCGCCCCTTTCATCACCATGTTTCATTATATTCAACTCCTACCATGTCATCACCATTGAAATCAGCAGGAGAAACCAACATTGTTTGAAACATCAAAGCTGAAAGGTTGCCGCTGGGCATCTCTGTCCCGGCAGTCCTCGTACAACCTTTCTGCCCAGGATTCGGTGCAATCGGGGCGTGCCTGGAAACGGAGCAGATCTGCTCACCCTCCATGGTCCCAAAGCCTTTAAGATGGAACGATGAAAGGAACGGCATGCAAATATACTCGGACTAGAAACTAGTTGGGCGCGGCTGCTTCGCAAGAAGACATGGAGAGGCTATCGCTAAGAATCTAGTAGCATCTGCGTCAAACACTGCGCCTCCTTTGGAGCTCCTGTTGTGATGCCCACTTCTAGACTTGCTTAGCAGTCCCTAAAACCGGCGCCTGCCAAAGTAGCAGTAGCAGCGGTGCTGGCAAAACTAATGGCGCCTGCTAATTGCAAAACTCAAGGACACGCAAGTCCTACCGAATGGTTTTAGTCCCCGTGCATCTCTCCACAATTACAAACGAAAACTTTCTTGACTGGCACGCTGATATCATTACACAAAGACAAACCCACAAACCTTCGTTGTGCCAAGCTGACTCCAAGACCAGGACGGCAAAACTCCAGGGCATTCCAGGGCCCCACTGCACGTGAACCTGAGCTTTTGATACCGCAAAGCGTTGCAAAAGTGAACATCAGCTTGGCAGCACCAGCTTCAACCACCTTTAATCTCATTCTGGCTGATTGGAGTTGATGGCTGTTCCAATTTTTGTGCAAGGGCGTTTCAGAAGCTGCTAGTTCGAAATAATTCAACTTCGGCTCTCTTCTGCTGCTTCATGTTTCGCATAGATATGTTCTCTCGCCTCACAAGTGCTTTGCAGCACATCTGTACAGGACTGAGTTTAATCTATAGGGAGTGAATCTCGAACGACGGTCCGAGGGAGTTTTTCTTCAGACGCTCAGTGGCAGAATAGCCCCGGTCCACTGCTGGGCGGAACGACACTCACGACAGATCATCAATATTCTTCAATATATCTGTGTGTATCTGTCATCTAGACTCATCCTTCTGCCACTGTGCTTCCTCTAGTCACCAAAATTGCCATGTGCCGAATTCACTGTGCAGCTTTAACCCTTATCACCAGGCAACACTATGCACAGTGATAAGGATAGCTATATAGTGGTCTAGATTGCAACACGGTCATGCAAGCATTGATGTGCTAGGGCACATTGATAAGGGCAGGCGATTCAAATACTCCATGGAAAGCCGCAGTCGACTTGAAGGACGCAAGGCCGCAAGGCTGCAAGGATTTGTATCCGGCAACTGGTATTTCCCATGGCGTAGGATTGGTGCCTGCACTGCTACGTCTGTATACCATGTCTATGCAATCAACACCATGCAGGGATCTCTTCGAAGAAGTACGGCAGCTGCTGCTCCTCGGCGCTCAGCCGGGTGACGAATGGGGCCTTGGGATGCCATACCCCCCAAAAAAAAACTACGAAGCACAATGGCACAATGGAGTACTAACACACAATAACTCAGCTGACGCTCCTGGGGCACTGGAACTCCTCCATTGAGGCGTTGGTGCAGCTCTTCCCACTCCTTGCGATTCACCGAAAGGAAACTCGTTGGAGGCAGCGTGCGCCAGAAGTGCTTGGTGCGGGCATCCACCTTGGATCACTGCCGTAAGGATCTCTCTGCTTCTCTCTGCTGTCCTGAATTTCTAGGTGAAACATCATATTCCGGGAGCTCATATTATGCAGTTCCAATGAAATGCGTCCTGACGAGGCTCCAAGGCAGGAGGGGCTAACTGTGGCGATAAGTTGAAATATCAGTTGAAACTGTGATAGAAAAAACTCTTGCAAAGCTCTGGATGACACCGATGCAAAAGGGATGGACTGCCACCAAAGGCACCTGCTGCTGTGCATGCAGCGCAATCCGATCATCCGTCTCAATGAGCTCCATGGCGGAAGCAATGTACTGATTCCACTTCCTGGCGTCAGGGACCCTCCGTCCCCAGTCTCAAGTGCTCTTAGCTCCGCTCCACCAGTTTCACAATGTGTTGCCACTTGCATGCGTTGTGAAAAATGGGAACCCAAGAACAGTATATGAAACTAATGACAACCAGTGGCATCCAACGGCCATCCAAAACTTGAGATTGCTCTCTGCAAATTCCTGCCATATCTCAAGGGAAGCAGAGAGCGAGGCCTTTGGGAAATTGGCACCGCCACAGTGTCGCAACCCCAGAGTCGCTCACCCAAGATGTCAGGCCGCAGCAGGCCCTCAACGAAGACGTTGGTGAAGAATTTCCCATATTCCAAAACGGAGGAGCCAAAAAATGAGTTGAAGGCACCTGCATCACCAGTAACGCACGCTGTTGCACCCGGACTAGAAATCTGTAACGGAAACTGGTTGGAAGTTTGGAGGTGTATTATGTTACATGCGGGAAAGCACCAGTGAGAGCACCAGTGGGTTGTTATTAACTAATTGGAGAGAGAGAGAGAGAGAGTGAGAGTGAGAGAGAGAGAGAGAGGGAGAGAGAGAGAGAGAGAGAGAGAGAGAAAGAGAGAGAGAGAGAGAGGGGGAGAGAGAGAGAGAGAGCGGGAGAGAGAGAGAGAGGGAGCGAGAGAGAGAGCGAGAGAGAGAGAGAGAGAGACAGAGAGAGAGAGGGAGAGAGAGCAAAAAAAAGAAAAAAGAGAAGAAAGGCCCCTCCACACCAACAAGAATGTCGTGCCATTACAGTAGTTGAAACATGGGGACACTAGGCTTCTGAGGAATTTCATCCCTGTTTCAATCTGTGCGCGTTGTCGCATTTCATCACTTTCACCTTCGTCAATCTCTGCATCCGCCAGGTACATCATGTGCTGGTCCAAGTAGTTGGTGGTCTTCACTTCGCAGCGACCTGTGAGGGACTCGCAGACAAAGTTGGATCGCTCAAAGCCTATGCAGCCCACCACCACATCACAGGGGACAAAGTCTCCGCTGCACAGCATCACGCCCTCCTTCTCGATGTGCTGGATCAAGCCTTTGTTGGACAATGTGCTGGGACATGCTGGGCAATTCGCACGGCATTTCACAGATTGAAATATGCGATTTCCATTTATTTCCCTGGTCGCAGCACAGGTATGCAAGAGTGTGAGAATGGCTTTCCGAACTCAAACCACTCCCTTGGCATGAAAACGCCCTGCAGCCCTTCCCTATCTTCCCTGTGTGCCTGTCATCGTAGAAAGCTTCTTCATGTGGTGGGCCACGAACCAAATATCGCTCACAGAGATGGTGTGGCCGTCATGCTTCACCTGTTTCGGCCAGCATTCCGGCAACCGGCAGCCAGATGCTTCGTAGAGCTGCTTCCATCGCAAGAACTGCTTGACGTTGGTCTGGGTGTCGTGCTTGTATTTCTCATCCCACGGCTTGACGAAGTTCAGGTAGTCAATTGCCTAGCCAGCACCAGTGTGCCGGGGGAAGCGGGTAGTAAAACAAGACATTCACAAGAAGAGGGAGCAACACACCGGTGAAGTGTTCTTTCCAGGCAGCCAATCCTCCCTGCCTTGGGGCAAATGGTGCCATGGCGGCGAGCAACCACAATGACCTGTGCCGCACCGTGCTCCAAGGCGGTTCGCCTCAGTAGATGCTCAGCTGCCATGGTGGTAAATAAAGTTCCCAGCAATGAATCGCAAATCGGGAGGGACTATCAAATCTATACCAGTAATACCGCACCAGACGGCGGCGGAAGTTTCACAAATAGGAAACCTATAGGAGAGGCTGGTTGTTGTGAATCACGGATGGCAGGGCGAATCCACTGATGGACCGACAGGTGGTTGGAGTTGTGTTTCTGGAGTGGTTGCAATGGTTGCAGTGGTCACCTTACCACAACTGCTGGATGTAGTGTAGTGTGGTGTAGTGCAGTTGTAGTTGTAGGTGCAGTTGTAGCTGTAGTTGTAGTGTAGTGGAGCTGTAGCTGTAATGTAGTGTAATTAGTGTATTTGCAAGTGCAGTTGCAGTTGTAGTCGTGGTGTGGTGTAATTACTGTAGTGTGTAGTGCAGTGTAAAATGTCGTGTGGTGTTGTGTAGTGTAGTGTAGTGTGGTATAGTGTAGTGTAGTCTAGTGTAAGGCAGTGTAGTTGTAGTGTAGTGTAGTGTAGTGTAATGTAGTGGTAGTTGTACCTGTAGGTGCAGTTGCAGCTGCAGCTGTAGTTGTAGTGTAATGCAATGTAATCAGTGTAGTGTAGTGTAGTGTAGTGTTGTGTAATGTAGTGTGGTTGTAGTTGTAGTTGTATTTGTAGTTGAAGTGTGCTGCAGTGTAATTAGTGTAGTGTAGTGTAGTTGGAATCGTAGTTGTGGTAGTCGTAGTTGTTGTAGTTGTTAGTGTAATTGGTGTAGTGTAGTGTAATTAGATGTAGTTAGTGTAGTGTGGTGTAATTAGTGCAGTGTAATGTAGCCTAGTATATTTGTAGTTGTAGTAGTAGTAGTAGTAGTAGTGTAGTGTAGTGGTAGTTGTAGTTGTAGTTACAACTGTCTATCCATCTATCTATCTATCCATCTATCTATCTGTTTGTCTGCCTGTCTGTCTGCCTGTCTACCTGCCAGCTTGAAACCGAAGCTATTCTGCGAGACGCCCTCAATTTTTGAACTTGACAACGTCAAAAACGAAACAACTCTGCGAGACTTCCTCAATTTTTGAACTTGACAACATCAAAAACGAAACAATTCTGCGAGACTTCCTCAATTTTCGAAGTTGACAACCTCAAAAACGAAACAGTTCTGCGAGACATCCTTCAAAAATGGAAAGTTGAGTGCAGAGCTGACGGCCTCGTACCAATGCGTTTTGTGATTTTTCCACCACCCACCTGTCTAAAGTACTGCGCCTGCCACGAAGAAGTGATGCCAGGTCATACGAAGTGCTGCACCTGTCACGCAAAATCATCTCAGCAAACCTGAAGATTTGATGCTCCAAAATGCAACCCCTCTCAGGAAATCAGCGCCCGGACCTCCTAACAGCTCTGATGAACATGTCTCTTGTACTGCGCCTGCCACGGAAATGCATCTTTGAAGATCCTCTTCAAATGCCCCACGCCTGCCATCGTTTCTGGAAATGCTGCAAAACCCTCACGTTTTGCTCACTTTTGACGCGGGGCACAATCCCTTGCACCTGCCACGCAAAACGACATCTGAACGTCCAAAAGTGGTTCAAGCATGTAGTGTTTTGTACATTTTGACTTCGAAATGTGCTTCGCGCCACAACGGCGTGCGCTTTTTCGACAGCGCAACTTCCAAAAATGGTCCGAACCTGGTGTGTTTTGTACATTTTGACTTCGAAATGTGCTTCACGCCCCAACAGCGTGCACTTTTTCGACATCTCAACTTCTAAAAGTGGTCCGAGGCTGAGGTGTTTTGTACATTTTGACTTGGAAAGGTGCTTCGCGCCACAACGGCGTACACTTTTTCATCTCTCATCTTTAGCGAACCTACTTTTCGACCCTCCGGAGCCACAAATCATTGGAAAAACAGTGTTTCGCGACTTTCCTACCTTTTCGCGCACCTGCATCTTCTCTCTTCTACTCTTCTCTTCTCTCTGACTCTTCCCATCTTTGCTTTTCATCTGTCCATATTGTCGGAAGTTTGACTTCTAAAATTCCTTCGATAAATCTGTTGTATATACGTCAAGAAGAGGCAGCTGCCGACCTTATCTGAGTTTTGCGATCTCTTACAGATCTTCGAGCAAGGGCATGGGAGGGCAATGGGACTCGCATTCACAGGAAAAAGGAGCACTCAGCTAAAGCAAAAATAGCCAGCAACCGGAGTTGAGAAGCCAACTTCTATAATTCAATGCATCAAAGCTGTCTGGAATTTCTGACAACTCGTCATTTTTCTGAGCTGCACATTCTCGACCGCAAAGGCGCCCATGCCAGCGATCACCACTCGCTTGCCACGCCAGTTGATGCCTGCGGGACCAACGTGACCCCGCATTTTTGTAGCACAACGCTTTGGACAATGAGTTGTTACGGTTGTTACGGTGTTTGGGTCTCTGCATGTCTCTCCCAGACCCCCAAAAAACAATAAGCTCTCCAAATCATTTTGCTTAGCCCCACCTGCCAAGGAATCGGAGGTGCCATCAGCCACTACTCCCATGAAGCTTTCTTGCCCGGGAACGCACAAAGGTCGGGGCAGCCCAACGCGATCGTTGATGCACAGCACCACGCCCCGGCACTGCACGATCCCGGCACTTCGCAACAACTCCTCAGCAGAGAAGCAGGAATTGTGGCCAGCATCCCTACAAAAGAACCCACGGTCTAAGGCTGACTATTTCAAAAACCTGCGAAGTTGAAAGTTCAAAAAGGATCAAAAAGGATTAAAAGGTCTTCAAGACAAGCATCATCATCGAAAAGTACAGTGTAGTTGCCTCCTTCACCCAGGACCTTCATCACCTTGACAGAAGTGAAAATGTGCTCTTTGAGGCGATCACCAAGCTTGGCCAAATCCTTCAACACTTCGGCAGCCGTGCTGTGGTCCCGATTGTCCCCAGCCTTGCCATCTTCCTCCGGGCAGAAACGAGCAAGAAATAGAGAGGCAGATGCGAAATTTCGTGATGTGTTTACAAAAGACATTGTCACCCATGCTGAAATCAGATTTTCATGGGGGAGCCGTGTCCTCCCCAAGCAAATCCTTGATGCAGTAGCCACCTTCCGAGCTGTTGACCTGTGAGGTGCCGTTGGCATACATGGACCAGATCCCTCCCACCACAGGACGTTGCTCCAACACGGCCACACTGAACCCTGCGGAAGTGCACCGGTGGGCGGTGAGCATCCCCAATAGCCCCGCACCAATCACCACCACATCCACTGCAGCTGGCACGTTGGATCTGGGAATCACCAAGCTTCGTCTGTCGAAACTGGTCTGAGCCATCGCTCCACGGCGTACCTCTCCGGGAATTTCAACATCTTCAACAGGCAACTGATCCATGAAAAAACGTCCGTAACTCCAGGGTCGGTTCATCTATGAGTCTATGAATGTTCATTTGGAAATCCCTCAGTCCCTGCTGACCCTGCTTCCATCACTTCCATGTAGAGATAGCTAGAGCATCTAGAACTATTATGCCCCACCTCTTCCGCCATGGACATGACATCCTCAGCGATGCTGAAGCAGTGCATGGTGACAGGGCGTCGAGAGACAGGGGCATCGTGTAGCTGAGTTTGCACTGCCTGTGCTAGCTGCTTGGATCCCAAAGGCCAACCTGAAACTCTGCTAGTTGGAGGACAATCATTGGCCTAAACATCCGAAGAATCTGGATAGCAATCTATTTGGGAAGTTTAGCTATATACTGTTACATACTGTTATATACTGTTATATACTGTTATATAATGTTATCTGTCCACTTTAAAGGGTCGTAGGTTCAAATGAGCAGCGCCTTGACGTTTGAAAACGCTAATCCCCCTCAAGACTTGGATGGAAACCAACACAAAACTGACAAAACCTAAAGATTGCCCAATGTGCGAGGCCGTGTAGGCCAACACGACCACAAAGCTTTGGATTGCTTTGGTACTGTAAGAATATGTAAGAATCATTAAGAATCTGCAAGATGCCTCAACTCTATCATTGAATATGGTTGAAGAATATGATTGTTTAGACATATTTAGTCACATAATGACACTGATTTTTCCCGGATCATCTTGGATCACTTGGATCCTCCTGCGGAAATCCATGAGATCCTCTGCTTCGCCAGGTCACGGCACATCCACCATCCACCGAAGCTCATCACAGGCCGCCTCCGCAGAGCTGAAGATCAGGGTCTTGTGCCGGGGCTGGTCGCCGTCCAGGGCCGCGCGAAGCCGCAGGGCGCAATCCAAAGCTGGCTCCTGCACCAAGTAAGTTTTGAAGATGTGAAAAAGTATGAACAATCAGTTGCAGTATTAACTAGACGACGGATGGCCCGAGAGCGTAGAAGAGCATGTTACTCTGTTGTAAGTAGTATCAAAGACATTGTAGGTGAAAGCTTCATTGAAGATGATGCAGATGATCAGCAGAAAGGAGATAGAAATGCTATGTCTATGTCAGATTCTAAGCAGAAGTAGACAAAGATATGATAGACACAAAATTTGAGAGACCGACAGAGACAGACAGCAAAGAAACACATACACACACACACAGACGCACAAACAAAGATACAGACACAGACGCACACACACACACACGGTACACAGACAGACACCACACCCACACACACAAACAGAACACAAAGAGGAAGACACATACACGCACACACACACAGGCACAGACACACACGCACACAAAGAGGAAGACACATACACGCACACACACACAGGCACAGACACACACGCACACAAAGAGACAGACACGGGTTGACAAACAGAGACGCAGACAGACACCAGGACACACACACACAAACTCACAGCGAAGTCATCGTTGTCGTGGCTACCTCAGCAATCTGAATGGGGGTGAAGTTCGTGACCTAAACATGTTGCTGAGACATGCTTCCAGGTCCAGGCAACTATAACGCAAATACGCAAAAGCAATCATCCGCTTTGTTCACCGCCGACTGTGCACGAGAAAGTCTTAGACAAAGCTTTTACACACAGGAGCTTTTACACAAAGAAGCTTTTACACACAGGAGCTTTTACACACAGAAGCTTTTACACACAGAAGCTTTTACACACAGAAGCCTTTGCACACAGACACTTTTACACACAGACACGTTTACACACAGACGCTTTTACACACAGAAGCTTCTACACACAGAAGCTTTTTACACACAGACACTTTTACACACAGAAGCTTTTGCACACAGAAGCTTTTACACACAGGAGCTTTTACACACAGACGCTTTACACACAGACGCTTTTAAACACAGACGCTTTTACACACAGACGCTTTTTACACACAGACGCGTTTACACACAGACGCTTTTACACACAGACACTTTTACACACAGACACGTTTACACACAGACACTTTTACACACAGACACTTTTACACACAGACGCGTTTACACACAGACACTTTTACACACAGACGCGTTTACACACAGAAGCTTTTAGACACAGAAGCTTTTACACTTTTACACACAGACGCTTTTACACACAGACGGGTTTACACACAGAAGCTTTTACACACAGACGCGTTTACACACATACGCGTTTACACAAAGAAGCTTTTACACACAGAAGCTTTTACACACAGGAGCTTTTACACACAGACGCTTTTATACACAGATACTTTTTACACACAGAAATACCATTTTACCTCAGTTTTCAACGATCGAACCTCATTTCGTGCGAAGGACACTTCAAAATCGCAATTTTAGCACAGTTTTTGGCGATCGAACCTCATTTCGTGCGAAAAGGTTGTCGCGGACACTTCAAAATCGCAATTTTACCAGCGATCGAACCTCATTTCGTGCGCCGCCGAGGCTATAAAATCGCAACGCCACCTCAGTTTTTGGCGATGGAACCTCATTTCGTGCGAAACAGTTGCTGCCGAGGTTCTAAAATCGCAATTTCACCGCAGTTTTTTGGCGATCAAACCTCATTTCGTGCGAAAGGGTTGTCGCGGCACACTCAAAATCGCAATTTCACCCCAGTTTTTGGCGATCGAGCCTCGTTTCGTGCGAAACGGTTGCGTTTCGTGCCGTCTCGTTGGCACTGCCCCCTGCCTTAAGAGAAAAATAGAAAAGAAGGAGAGAGCACGAGGGCGAGAGAGAATGTGAAGATGTGAAGATGTGCGGATGTGAAGATGTGAGGATGTGAAGATGTGAGGATGTGATGATGAGAAGATGTGATGATGACAAGATGTGAAGATGAGCAGATGTGAAGATGAGAAGATGTGAAGATGTGAAGATGTGAGGATGTGAAGATGTGAGGATGTGAGGGGGAGAAGATGTGAAGATGAGAAGATGTGAAGACGACAAGATGTGAAGATGAGCAGATGTGAAGATGAGAAGATGTGAAGATGTGAGGATGTGAAGATGTGAGGATGTGAGGATGAGAAGATGAGAAGATTTGAAGATGTGAAGATGCGAGGATGTGAGGATGAGAAGATGTGACGATGAGAAGATGTGAAGATGAGAAGATGTGAAGATGTGAAGATGAGAAGATGTGAAGATGAGAAGGTGTGAAGATGTGAGGATGTGAGGATGAGAAGATGTGAGAATTGAAGATGTGATGTGAAGATGTAAAAATGTTTGACAGGCCCCCACTATTAGAAGAACCCTTCGCTCAGACGGTCTCAGGAAGAATATACACACATATAAATATATATACGGCAAATGCCTGGGCTTTGCCCGGAACCGCAACCACGACAGGCAACGCATCATCATCATCATCATCATCATCATCATCATCAAACCCTTGTTGAAGATCTTCAAAATGAAGATAGAAGTTTAACGGGGGTGGGAGAATTTAACCCTAACTTATTGAAGATCTTCAATGAATGTAGAAGTTTAACGGGGGTGGGAGAATTAAACCCTTATTGAATGAAGATCGAATGTAAAGTTCAACGGGGGTGGGAGTTTAATATTCCCTAGTACCTTTGTTGATCTTCCCAATTGAACGTCAAGTTTAACAGGGGTGGGGGGGTTTAATATTCCCTAGTACCTTTGTTGATCTTCCCAATTGAACGTCAAGTTTAACAGGGGTGGGGGGTTTAATATTCCCTAGTACCTTTGTTGATCTTCCCAATGGAATGTAAAGTTTCACGGGGTTGGGAGTTTAATATTTCCTGGTACCTTTGTTGTTTTTCCTACAGGAATTTTGTGAAGTTGCATCAACATTTGTTTGGGAATGGGTAACCTCTACGCTGCAACGCCTGGGCTGAGCCCAGGCGTTGCGCGTATATATATATATATATTTTTTTTTGGAGTTGAGATGGTGGGGAAGGCTGAATATGAATCCAGATTTTTGCTGATAAATGGAGACAAATGGAGAAATACTGTGGATGGTTGCGAGATCCTGCACCACCTTGGTTGAAACCTAGAAATCACGGGAAAGTTCCCATATTCCATATTCCAATGAATCAATAGTTGGAATATGGGAACTATCCTCTGGTAAACTAACATAGCTATTGAAAATGGCCATTTATAGTGAGTTTTCCGATTAAACATGGTGATTTTCCATTGTTATGTTAGTTTACCAGAGGGTATCAATCAATGAAATCTCCCAGTTCCCATATAGTTTCCATATAGTTCCCATATTCCATTCCTCGCTGAAGATCACTGCCCGAAAGGGCGTGCCGGCGAGGCAGACGCTGCGACACGGCACCGGCGCAGACTGCTGTAGAAAGTGACGCGTGGCCAGCTGAGCGCCCTCGGCCAAGCTTCGCAGCTTCATCCAAGCCTCGAGCCAAAAAGGATCAAAAATGACCATAGATATCCATAGATATCCATAGATATCCAGAGATTCAATGAAAATCAATCAAACATGTCTGATTTTCAGAGTTTCGGATCATTTCTATAATTTCTAGATGTCCATTGTTGAACTTTTCAAAGTTTCGGATGCATGTTTCTTAGGCCACGAAAATGATTTGCAGAAGGAAGCCATGGAAGGCAGTCAGCATAATCATCAGAATGAACACATAAAGCAACATGATATCCAAATAGACATGTGTTTCAACCACCAGCATTGAATAAAGAACTCTTTTTGAAAAAGTATCTTCTATCGTATTTGAAAGGGGTGAAAAATAGCTTTATTTTTTTTTGTGAGGTTTGGTTCTTTTTATTATTTCTTTCCTGGTGCCATTTGCCTGGCGTTTGCAACAGTTTGGAACTAGAATCTGTCATTTTGCATGGCATTTGCGACATTTTGGCATGTTCACCTTCCGTTTTGCACGGTATTTGGTACATTTAAGGCACTTCAACCTCTCATTTTGCATGGGATTTGCTACATTTTGGCTTCAACCTCTCATTTTGCATAATATTGGCTGCATGTTGGTACTTCAAACGTTCATGTGGGTTTCTTTAGGGCTTCATTTTAGATTTCTTTAGGGCGTCATTTAGGGGTTCATTTAGGGTTTCTTTCGGGTTTCATTTAGGGTTTCTTTATGGTTTCATTTAGGGTTTCTTTTCGGTTTCATTTGGGGTCTCTTCAGGGTTTCATTTCGGTTCTCTTCAGGGTTTCATTTCGGTTCTCTTCAGGGTTTCTTTAGGGTTTCATTTAGGGTTTCTTTAGGGTTTCATATGGGTTTCATTTAGGGTTTCTTTTAAGGTTTCTTTAGGATTTCATTTGGGGTTTCATCTAGGGTTTCATTTGCGGTTTCTTTCGGGCCTTATTGAAGATTTCTGTAGGGTTTCATTTAGAGTTTCTTTAGGCTTTCTTTGGGGTATCTTTAAGGGTTCTTTAGGGTTTCATTTGGGGTTTTTTAGGGTGTCACCGAGGGTATCTTAGGGTTTCATGTCGGGTTTCTTTTGGATTTCTTTTGTGTTTCATTTCTTTTGAGTTTCATTTAGGGTTTGGCCAGGGTTCAATTTAGGGTTCTTTAGGGTTTCATTTAGGGTTTATGTAGGGTTTCTTATTGGGATTTCTTTAGGGGGTCTTTGGGTTTCATCTAGGGTTTCATTTAGGATACAAACAGGAGAGAATAAGGAAAAGAAAAAACAAGTAGACGTAGAAAGGCACAGAAGCACAGAAGCAGGAAAAGCAAAAAGCGGACAAAGCAGACAAGCAGAAAAGAGAGAAGCAAGAACAGCAGAAAAGCAGGAAAAAACAGAAAAGTAGGAAAAGAAAAAAAACCGGAGAAGCAGAAAAGCAGAGAAGCAAAGCAAAACAGCCGAAAAACAGAAAAGCAAAGAAGTAGAAAAGCAAAGAAGGAGAACAGCAGGGACAGCAGAAAAGCAGGAATCCAAATAGAATTCTCAACCTGATCCAAAAAAACCTGAATAAAATACATAGGCCTCCTTTGAAAATAGGCATAAATGCAATGAAACCATACATAAATATATATATTATATATATATCTCTCTCCATATGGGTTTGTCCAGAAACAGGATACTTCCAAATCCCATGGTTTTTCATAACTTTCCTGTAGCATTTTTGGGGTTGTACACAATTTCCAGACCCATCATATATGTCACCTTATCTATCGCTGTACTTATCTTCATCTTTCATATCTTTCGGTTTCCTACAATAGGGCTACCCCCAGTTCTCATCCATTTATAGAAGGATGTAGCATGAAATAAACCATCCAGCTATGGGGGTATCTCCATGTATGGA